CTTTACTGATAAGATGCGCGTTAAATATCGCATGCGATTAATCGTGCAGCCCTAGCTTAGAGTTACGTGCATGTAATTTAGAATATATAATAATTTATTGTTATTATAAACGTAAGTACATGTAACGTGTAACAAGGACACCTTTAAATAAAGTGTTACCATATATATTACATTTTTACAAAGACTTTATATTTATAGTTTGCTGTGTGGTCCCGTGTGTGCTGCTCTGCAGTCAGTGTATGTCAGGGATTGTTGGACGTGTCAGAAGTGTTGGTTGTCTCGTGTGTTGACAGACGACTTCGTCTGCCCTGAAAGGAGCCATTCAGCTGGGGATCGGCTACACTGTGGGTAACCTGAGCTCCAAACCCGAGCGCGACGTCCTCATGCAAGACTTCTACGTGGTGGAGAGCATTTTCTTCCCCAGGTCTGTAAGAGAGAGTTCTGCTGCACCAGAGAGTTAAATCCATCTGTTCATATAGTCTCACTGCCATATCTATATACAGTGGGTACGGAAAGTATTCAGACCACCTTAAATTTTTCACTCTTTGTTATATTGCAGCCATTTGCTAAAATCATTTAAGTTAATTTTTTTTCCTCATTAATGTACACACAGCACCCCATATTGATATATAACATATATATATATATATATATATATATATATATATACATACAATAAACTTCAAATATATACGTATGTACTGTATATTTTTTCTAATGATTAATTCTAATAATTTTATTCTTACAATCTATAAGTCAATCCACTGCGCAACATTTTTTTTCTCATTCAATTATTTTCCACTACAAATATCTAGACATTTATAAATCTAAATATTTATTTACGATGCTTTTTTTAGGAAGATATTAAGTCTTACTTTCTAAAATAATTATCAAAATTAAGTGAGATTTTGCTGAAAACAAGAAAAAAATATCTGCCATTGGGTCAGAACATTTTTCTTTGTTTTCTCTTTGAATTAAGGTAATTTTTTTGAGCTCACTGGCAGATTTTTTTTTTTCATAAAACCTTTTCAGAAATCTTAATATCACAAGTAATTTAGCTTTTCAAGTAAGTATTTTTAGATATTTGTACTAGACAAAAATACTGTCTATTTTTATATTGTATCATTGATTCGTTTGATTGTTTATATTGTGTATTGATTTATTACATCATTTTCAATGCTTCATGGGCTGAGCAGCTAATTTACGGTGGCCGAGAAGTGCAAAGCAAATCACAATTCTGAAAACAAAATAACAAATTACAAATGCAAATGCAAGTCTAAAAAACAAAATAACAATTCAGAAAGCACAACAACAATTCAGAAAACATTATAACAAGTCAGAAAACACAACGACAAATCAGACAAACCGGAAGAGGTAGGTATAGTTTGAGACAGCGCCATTGGTTTGGGATTACTCACCGCTGACTGGACGAGACATCTGTCAATCAACGTATACAGGAAGAACCAGCCGAAGAACAGCAGAGTCGTGGTAGAAAGTTCGGAGATGGTATTAAAGTAGCTCAGTTTAAATGTATTGTATGAATTGCCCTTACTATGGAATAAAAAATACGGGGTGTATATTTACATTTAGTTAAAAGTGGTTGTAAATCATTAGCTCCAGTGGCGCAGATGGATAAGTGCTTGTTGTTAGCTTCTTTGATGCGATCGACCCGGGTTCGATCCCATCTTTTGCCATTTGTCGTTGTGTTTTTTGACTTGTTAATTTGTTTTCGGATTTGTCGTTGTGTTTTCTGACTTGTTATAATGTTTTCTGAATTGTTGTTGTGCTTTCTGAATTGTTATTTTGTTTTTTAGACTTGCATTTGCGTTTGTAATTTGTTATTTTGTTTTCAGAATTGTGATTTGCCTTGTACTTCACGGCCACCGTACTAATTCACTTACAATTTTTTTCAACTGCTTGCACACAAAAATCTTTACTTGTCACACAATTTCTGAAAGCTGACACTCAAACAGCAGAAGCACACACCAAATCTGCAAAACCATACACTAATTCTCGGCCTTTGACTCAGTTTTCAATTTCATAAAACACTTTTTGCAAAACACAACACACAATTCTCTATGTAACACACACAAATCTAACAGGAATTGATATTAGGGCAAAGGTGTTTGCAAATGTTTGCTTTTGAGATGTGTTTGTGATATTTTGAATGCAGTGCTTCAAGGCATTTAGCATTTTGTGTGTGCAATTCTTGGATTTGTGTGTAAAGTTTTGAAAAAAAATATATTACACTAGTATTGACAATTTTTTTTAATGTCTTTGAAAATAAGTCTCTTCCACTCTGCAATAAAAAGTGTAATTTTGTGGAATATAAAATCATAAATCCTGTTGCTGATCAGTCAGATGATCCAGATTTGATGTGTGTGTGTCTCTCTCAGTGAAGGCAGTAATCTGACGCCGGCACATCACTATCCAGACTTCAGGTTTAAAACATACGCTCCGGTGGCTTTCCGCTACTTCAGAGAGCTCTTCGGGATTCGACCGGACGACTATCTGGTGAGACACGCCGCAAACACTGGCTCTCATTCACTAATAACTGTGTGTGTTATTTCATATATGTACGCACAGGAGGTCTTTAGTATTTTGAGATATTTTCTTGACATATTATCCCTCGACAAAAGAAACAATAAGATTTTTCCTTTGGCTTTTGGATTATTGCAGAAAATTAGTTCTGTGAGCCACAAAACTTTATGATCCTTACATGTTTTGTTCATCTTCTTATAATCTTCACAAAAGCCTAAATACAATTGGCAGATTGAACGTAGGAACGTAGAAGCTGAACGTAGGCTAACAAACGACATCACGGTCACATGACTTCAGCGTCATCACCATCAACTCTTTCAGTCTTTGTTTAAAAACATCTATGAGAAATCAGTGAGATATATGAGAATCTATGAGAATATTGAGATATTCGATTTTTCTGTATTGCTTCAGATCAAATATGCCAAAAAAGACTCTTGACTCTCCTGACTCACTTCTGTTTGTTTTGAGTGATGCTTTCTGAATGACTGTGTGTGTGTGTGTGTGCGTGTGCGTGTGCGTGTGTCTAAGTGTCTGTGTGTGTCTGTGTCTCTGTGTCTCTGTGTGTGTGTGTCTGTCTCTGTGTCTCTGCATGTCTGTGTGTGTCTGTCTCTCTGTGTCTGTGTCTGTGTCTCTGTGTCTCTGTGTGTCTGTGTGTCTGTGTGTCTGTGTGTGTGTGTGTGTGGAGGCCCCCTACTGGGCCTCCGGCTGGGCTGTGTGACTACGGCCCGTGACAGGAGGGTGA